TAAGTCAAATTTATATTTTTAAACCTTCACAAAAAAAATTGTCTCTTAAAACGTTTCCTATATTTATCGCGTCTATTTTATGCAAAGTGACTATTTTTTCACTGATTTACACTCTTTGCGATATTACAAACAGATAATACAATAATAATATTAAATGAATTATTTTAAGTAATTATAATTTTTTAAAAGTTAAATAAAATTTTTTAATTATTTCTCAGAATCACTTAGTTAACATAACCTAAAATTTTGCAGCTGCTTTTATTACATGTTATTATTATTATTTTATAAAAATTTATCAACAACATAATAATTAAAAACGGATGTAAAATATTTCAATAATAATAATAATAATAATAATAATAATTATTATTATTATTATACATATATTCTCACAATATGATTATATCCGTATTTTACTTGAAAAATTAAAAAATCAACAATTGTGATATTATTCAAAAACTACGATATTTAAATTTCTCTAAAAAAATTTCATTTATATTTCTAATTTTTTTTTCTAGTCTGTTGGATAATCGTGAGTATATTGGGTTATTTTTTTGGCAAAATGCCACACAAATTTTATTCGTCTCGTATACAGTTATAAAATTCTATTTACGCAACAATATATTCTTATTTTTACAAATCTTGATTTTACTTCATTAATCTATATATATATATCAGACTTGAACTTAGAAAACTCAAATAAAACAATATTTTACATTGATTTTAAAAAATTTAAATTATATCCTGTAAGAAAAATTTATTTCACCCAGAAAAATTTTCTATTCAAATTAAATATTTAATTTATATTAAAGATAAATTAAAATTATAAATTAAATTGAAATAAATAAATTATGTAATTTATAGAAAATAAGAAATTTTTATTTAAGATAACTTAAATAAGGGTCGAAACGTTTGAAGAACAAAACCAAAATAGTTTTCTTTATTACAAATAAGGACTCTAAAAATCTATAAAAAATTCAGCACTGAATTATTGCAAAGATCCAATTTTCGATATAATTAAATATTCTATTATTAAATTAAATAATATTTTAACCGTTATAGTGAGTATGTCGAATTTAAGAATTTAATATTGTATTTTTTAAGTAGTGACAGATAAATTTAAGTAGTAAGAGTAAACCTGTAAGTAGAACAGGTCAATATTGTCAGCTCAGGGAAAGTAGTAATCTGCGTCAAAACTTGAATTAACACAATATATTTAAAACAATTTTCGGAATTTAGGTTCAGATCAAGAGTAAAATTAAAGTAAAAAAACAAATTTTAGTAGTAAAGGTCAAGTAGTACAAGTATAGTACATTTAGTAGTACAAGTCAATTTACAAGAAAATAAATGAGTACAACTTGTAAAGATATTTACTAAATACTACACGGAAAAAAATCTTAACTTTTTATTAAGTGAAAAATAACTAAGTATTAATAAAAAAATGACTATAATTATATCAGTAAAAAAAAGTCAAATTCGACTATATAATTGAACTAGTCAATAGACTGACATTTTAGTTATTTTGACATAACCTAAAAATTAATTTAACTGACATTAGTTATTTTTAACTGATTAGTATGAAATATTACTCTATATTTGAATAAAAGACTTAATTTTGCTAATATTAAATTAGTTATTTGTCAACTAATTCAAATTTAGAAAGAACAGAAAATTGATAAGCAAAAAAAATTTTTTTTTTAATTTACAATTCTTGTGCATTTGAATTAAAATATAACACGGATCTTCAAATTAGAGTCGGAAAAAGAGTGAGCCAATCGAAGTGGTAACTGGCTGGCCACTCTACAAGGGACTATTTTCGTCCGCCGTATAAATAAAGAAGCATTACATAATCGTCAAACAAATCGATGCCAATTATTATAAACAAACTCGAATGCCTCATTGGGGCAAACACTCGTCTTTCATTTCCCAAAGCAGGGCATGCAAATGAATTTTCGAGTATGTATATATATAAATTATCTATTTCTAATTTTGTCTTTTCTTGGGAAAATATTTTTTTTTTTTTAAAATCCTCTCAAGATTTATTTATTCATTCATTTGACTATAAAAATGATTATTTGGAGAGATTGGGATATAGGAATCGGGATTAGTTACATAAAAAATCTCACAAAAATACTTTTGTTAATGTTTTTAATTGATTAGTATAGGTACAAGCAAACAATGTAGTTACATGTTAAATTAGTAGTTAATATTTCCCACATAATTGTACAATTCAATGAAATTTAGAACCGTTTTTCAAATTCGAAAATTTTACAAAATTTATTTTCAAAATTCTAAAAAAAATCAATTCTCACTATAGTTGGAAATTCAAAAATTAAAATTTGAGAATTGAATCATAACTAGAAATTTGATTTGATTTTAAAATTTTTTTAAAAGAGTTAAATTAATTCTTATTTGATGTAAGTTCAACAAAATGTAAATTTAATTTAAAAATTAAATTTAGAAAATTGTATCATAAGTAGAAATTTGTTTCGATTTTCAAAATTCTGAAAAAACAATTCAATTCTCACTATAGTTGAAAATTCAAAACTTAAATTTAGAAAATTAAAAAAAATTAAAAAATTCAATTCTCATTAATTGTAAGTTCACAAAACTAAATTGAAAAAATTGAATCATAACTAGAAATTTTTTTTTTATTGTACAATTGATGCGTGAATGTTACTTTGGTAACAGAGATGATATTTTCCTACTGATAATACGGTTGTGATATATCGAAAAAATGACGATCCGAAGAAAAATGATTTTCACACTTTTTGTCACACACTAGATCGATTGTCGAGTTTCCTGTTAGGAAAATTAAATAGAACACTCGCGTTTTATTGAACACGTCTTTTATATTTACCGAAGCACAATAATAATATTTTTTTTCCTCACGTCACGAAATTTCGTTAAAAAAATTCTTTGTATCGATCTATTTTCTTTTTTGATGTTATATTATATTTATATGATTTTTGAAAACTCGATGATCGATCGTTAATTAGATCGTGTGGATCCTTTTTTATTTTACCTAGTTTCGGATGACCGTTCGGTTCGAGAGTTGGAGCTTAGACTGGGTAACTGCCGCCAAAATTGCGAACTAGTATACCTGATTGAGGATACAAGTGGCGCCGCGACGAGATAAAATTTGGTAACGATCACGAGACATTTATGGCAACCCCCACTATATGAGAGACCACCAGCAGCAGTATTTGTGAAAAAATTCGGGCTAGCTGTGATGTATCTTCCCACGTATTTCCCGCTTGCGTTTTCACGCGAGCTTCCTACGATGCGTCAATGACTCGAGAGAGAGAAGACGAAGGTCGCGGCGGTGGTGGTCACGAAATCACTCCACGTGTACTATCAGCACAAACAAAAAAGTCATTCTTTTATTTTCGTCTCTTTTATTTGTATAAACAACAAATTATAATATCACAACGAGTTTGCCGTGAAAAACTGAATTACCGTAACTTGTTTTTTTACTTACACTGTAAAAAGTATTAAGGAAATTTTTCCTGTTTGAAAGAAGTAACGATTATTACCCACTTTTACATAAACAAGTAATTGTACCATATTAAAAATGTCAATATTTCTTAGTTTGGTAAAAAAAATTCTCAATTCTTCTATAGATAATTGCAATTTTAAACATGGTAAGGTTACGTTCGGTAATGGAATTTTCCCATCTGCTGTAATTTCGCCGTCATTAGTCATTTCACCTCTTTGAATGTGGAAACGATTATTATTCTCTTAAAAAAAATATCTAATTTACTGTCAAGGAAAGGAAATTCACCCCGGAGTTGAAAATCCCAATATTCGAAATATCAAAATTACAATATTTGGTATTTTTCTATTTTTGCATATGTATTTTCAAAAGTAGTATTATTACTAGAGATTTCATAAGGAAAATTGCCGTTGCTATCAAAAATTTTCTTCGACTTTTTGAGAAAAATATTTTATTTTAAAATATATTACATAACCCTATATTGTGTCATAGTGTAAAAAGTATCCAGTGCGACTACACCGAGTACCCTACCCCCATATACTTTGGTGCGCTGAACACGCATCTGAGATCAGATTTGCTCCATCACGTCAGAAATTTTTTTTCCTCAAAAAACATGTTAGATTTTAATTTTTATGTAACACAAATTTTTTGAAAATTAGATTCACTTAAGGGGTCTACTACATTTAGAATTTTCAAAAAATCGATTCTTTTTATTTCATTTTTTGAAAGTATACATAATTAGAAATATCATCAAAATTTTATAAAGATCGTAGCACTCCAACTATTCTTTTTCGACCTTTAATTTGCTAATTAAACATGCTAATACGTTAATTCACTATACCACGGTGCGCCTGAAATGTATTTAAATGAAAATTGCTTGCACTCTAAAATTTATTGTGGATTTTGAATCTTTGACGTTCCCAGAGTATTTTTAAACAAAAAAGAAAATAATCGTTGGAGCCCTTTTCGAGAAAAATACATTTTTTCATTGATAACACATCCCTACAAAAAAGCGACATGTACGGATGAATCTGAGTATTATTTGGTAGTTTCTAATCAAAAATTAAAAATTCTCTGTTCAAATTACGCAATTAAATAAATATTAGAAAACACACCCTTGCAAAATATTAAAGTCCTATTAAAAATGGGTTGGTATAAATATTAATACATTAAATGATTAAATAGATAATTAATATAGTTATAATATAATAGTTGCAGATAATTGTTTCAAAACAATATTTTATTATAAGATCACTTTCATTTACTTGAAAATTCCTCTTCTCAATTCTTTCCATTTTTACATCTGCCCAAGAAAATCATTTTTTCTTCTTAACCATTTTTCGCTACGAATTCACAGAAAATTAAAAGGCATTAAAATAAGCTGCAACGCTTCTTATTTTAATCTAATTTTGCTTATTTTAATCCATTTTGGTATTAAAATAAGCAAAATTGGATTAAAATAAGAAGCGTTGCAGCTTATTTTAATGCCTTTTAATTTTCTGTGTTTGAATTTTAAAGGTAAAATCTGTAATTTTTAAGTAATTTGAGATATTTATATAACATTAGTCTAAATAGAAAAATTAAGATAATATTTTAGTGGTATTATGGTGCTAAATTATTATCTTATGGTTAAATTTATTTATTATTGCTTCCTCATGGAGGAAGTATTGTTTTCGAACTCATTTTTTTGACATATCTTTATGTTTTTTGACCTCAGGAATCCAAAAATGACATTTTTAGAAAATGTCATTCCGTATGTGTGTGTGTGTGTATATACATTACATTTTCATAAATATCTCAAATTCTATAAGAGCTTTAGGGCTGAATTTTTTTTTAAATTGTAGATCTCACTTGAGGACATAAAATGAGAAAACTTTGGGACAAATTAATACATATTAACTATATTTTTTTTGACTTTTAAAATTTTTGAAAAATCGTTTTTTGCCCATAACTTGAAACACATGTTTTGAAAGTTGGGATGTTTTTACTTAATTTTGTAGAGTTTTTTAAGACGCATTTTTTGAGCTATTGACGAACAATCTGCTATCATTTTATCCAAAGTTATTGACATTTTAAAAATCATAAAAAATCGTTTTTTGCTTATAACTTTAAAAAAATGTTATGACACCTACAGTTTTCTTAGTCTCATTTTGTAGAGATTTTCAAGACGCATCTTTTGACCTATTAACGAACAGTTTACGATTATTTTATCCAAAGTTATTGACATTTTAAAAATCATAAAAAATCGTTTTTTGCTCATAACTTTAAAAAAATGTTATGACACCTACAATCGTAAACTGATCGCAAAATATCTCCATGAGGAAGCAAAGTGTTCATGGAATGAACACAAAAATACATACTTCAACTTGGCAGCGGTTTTTTTAATTTTCATATTAAAATCTTAAGGATTATTAATAATTATTCTGATCAAAATAAATATATAAAAAAGTAAACTATTTTTACCTCAGTTGTAGAATTATTATTTTTGCCACATAATATAAGTTTCTTTAATTTGCAAATCTAAATCTCGTGTAAAGAGCATACATTCTGCGTCCAAATATTGCTGTAGAAATTTCAATCAGAAAAGAAATTAAAGAAAGAGAATATCCAATAGCTAATACACGAAATAGTACAAAGAACAATTTTTCCTTCTCAGTATTCTCTGGCAGCAAAATGTTGGTGTTCCGTACATTTGAGGGAAAAAGATCTTTAAGCAGCCCAAATTCAATAGCATATCGAAGTAATTTACTTTGGCGAGTACCAGGGCGAGTTTTAGGACAAAACAGCGAAGTAAAGATGGCATTGATATCTTGATAAATAATTTCGTCCACTATTTTAACATTTACCTCATTTTTACCGCAGTACTCATTAACGACGTTCTCAGCATTCAGGAAAAGACAAGATATGTTCTGATGTTCAATCAAGTATCTCATACAATAATCATTGTATTCTTCTTCTTTGTTAGGTGAATATTCTATTTTTTTTACTATTTTTGCAATGTTAGGATTATGATGACTTAATAATTCTAATGAAATAGTTTTTTCGAAACTGCCTATAATTTTTAAAGATGAATTAGCAAGTTCTTCGAGAGTGATTATATTGGAATTTAGTGGACAAGTGATGTCCAAAATAACTGAATAAAAATAACTAGAATAGACAATGCATGTTATCAATAGTGAACCATAAACTAATCTTTCCGAAAATTTTCTCGGTTCACGAGCAGTAGGCATTCCAATTATAATTTGACTGATATTTAATATTTGCCATGTATTTCTCTCGAATTTCATATAAAAAGCTGCTAATCGGATGATGCCAATCATGCCAATTGTTCCCAAGAGTAAGTTTCCAAATTCTTCAGACAGAATCAGGTCATTAGAGTGTTTAAACGTCTTTGGAATAACAAACTTATAATTGTTAAATCCTAAAATAGTCACCAGCCGTCTTAAAAAATCGTTTTTTTCCAGAACTTTTGAACTTAATGTTGATTTAACAATATTTTTTAATTTAAAATTATGATTACAGGAATTTCGAAACCATTGGCTTTCAGATGACAAATTTTCAAAGAAAACTGTTTTAGCACAACGACTTATTTGACTTATAAAAGGTACCTCGTGTTTATGACTTTCGTTAAGCATAACTTTCCATTGTTGATTGTGTGACAATACAGAAATATCTAAACTTTTTTTCCACCATTGCAATTGTAACTTGTTGTTAAGATCATTTTGACTTGAAAGACAAGAATTTATAATTAAAATTCTTGGCTTAAAAATATAAGGGATCTTTACTAGTATATCCTCACATTTATTAGTTTTATTTTGTAGAACAAACATTGTTGAATCTCCTAATTTAAAATAATAGTCCAATTCTTTTCGACTTTGACGATTTATTATGTCATAGGTCATAATCAATGATGGGAAATTCATATTAATTGCTGTCATAAGAGAATTCATTACTGGATCATCAATATCAAGTTCATTTTCAAGAATAAACACCACTTGACGAGGTTGTTTTTCGTTTAGGTGTTTTATCAATCCATCATAATAATTATTTGTTGAAGATATTTCTAAGATTTTCGTCCAAAGAAAGCAACTAACAATATATACACTTATTGACTTCATTGTGCACAACCATCATATTCAACTCTCACAACCTGTCTAACCATGGTGAAAAACAATTACGCATCTAGCTGCTACAGTTTGTTGAGTTTATTTAGGATTTTATGAAAAACGTTTTTGACGTGAAGTATGCTTCAAGAGAACATTTTTGTGTTATGTATATATATAAATTAAATATTAATAATTGTCGATTATGTTATTTAACAACCGTTTGTATAGATACTTCGTTAAATATAATTATATTGATTCAAAATAATTATAAATATTGATGATTTATTTTATGTACTGTGACATTTTGTGTTGAATATGAAATGGAAAATTAAAGTGTGAGAGAAAGAGGGAGCAAAAAGTCTTCCGATTTTAGTGAATTATTTTGGTTATGTGCCAGAAATTGTTGTCACTGTTGTTTATATATTTTATTTGTTTTCTTTTTGTGAAAATGTTTTATTCTGATTTTATTAAATTTTTATATCTCTTAGAAATTATTAAATTTATTTCTTCGAGGTCACACTGGGTGGCTGTCACCCATCAATATTTTCAACTTTTGATATTTTTCTGAAAAACTTGAAAGATTCATGAAATTTTATCGATAACACGGATTTTATATTTTTATTCAGAACATAAGGAAACAGATATTTAAAGCATTGAAATGTATGCACAAATTTTGATGATTTCTGTAAATTAACCATTGCCAAATTACAGCCACTTAAAAATGACTGAGGGTGGCAACCACCCAGTGTGACCTTCGCGATCAAAAACGAAGTGTGACCTCGAAGGGTTATTAGAAAATAATTTATTATATATATATTTTTTCAAAATTCTGAATAATTAGGGTTTATATAAAGATTTTTTTTATTTTTTTGACAATTTCACTACGCAATGTCTGACTGAACCAGTTTTATCTACTTGAATGAAAAATTTTAATTTTTCGTCGTCAAGTCACGCACTTTTTTAATTGGATAAAAATTAAATAGCAATCAAAGTTTTTCAAAATGATTTTTTAATATTTTACAATCTAGATTTCTGTCCGTATATGTAAGATCAAATATGATACCTGATACTATCTAGATAGTACCCCGTACCATCTATTTCTCTCCGTGTATATACTATAGTATGTACTATATATTATTTTCGTACAGAAAGTGTTAGTATTTACTTATATTTTGATCAAGCTCGCCTGTAAATTGCTCAGAATTCATAAATATATTATTCTCCTTATTTTTTCTAATAGATGTCAACAAATGTCAAAACACTCTTTTTTAATTCCCCACTTAATAATTAATAGGGATAAGTTGGCTAAGGGGGAAGTGTTTTTATTTATCTTAATTGAATCAACAAATTTTTTTTCAACTCTAAGGTTAAAATGAGATTATAATTACCCTTAAAAACGTTCTACAAAAAGTTTAGAAAAAAAATATCAAAAAGTTCAAAAACCCCAAAAAGGTAGAAAAAATATGGTCGCAAATTTAATTTCCTTAAAAATTTTATATAACATTTTTTGGGGTGGCTGATTACTAATTTGAAGTCAGATTTACAAAATTCAAAATGTCGAATCAAAATTTCAAAAATGACCACATTTTTATGTTTTTTTGGGGGGGATTTTGAACAATTACAAGGGGGGTAGATTCAACCCTTAATTTTGAACAATTTCGGATGTCACAATTCAGTCGTCTTTTCATTCATAAAAAGAATTAAAACATTTATTTCAAGTGAAATTTGTTGCTTTGAAGAAAGTGAAAAATATTGTTAAATTTCTAGTTTTAAAACTAAATTTTGATTTATATATGCGGAACTGAATATGACATCATATGTTTCGTAAATATGAGATTAGATAAATTTTGCATACGGATATATACATATTATTATTTTGTAGACTATATACATACATATAGATTTTAAACTTAAGCAATAGAAATTTCAAGAAGTACAATATTTAGGAAATTCTTTGCCAGCTGGCAACAGGAAGTTTAAATTTTCTTTCAACAAATATATAATAATAAACTATTTTAATAAATAATAAACACGAAAATTTGGAAACAAAATACTTGTATATATCTCTATGAGATTTCTCTGAATTGAAACATTAGAAACACGCGCCCAAAAAGTTTCAGACAATTTCAACATTTTGTATATAAGCTTAAACTTAAAAGTGTCATTATTTTGACACGACAACTGCCATTTCTCATTTTTCAGTTTAAATTATTGAATTTATGTAGTTTCATAATTTTTATTTATATATTTAATTCATATTATAGCTGCTATTTTATATCACATTTTATGAAAATTAATGCTTTTTAACGAATAAGTAATTCAATGTTTTTGTAAAAAAAGGTTCAGAGAAAATGAGATAATATTAATCCTTTCTAAACTTTCATAAAAGAATTCTATTTAAATATAGAGATACGTTTGAAAATGAATTTTTTTACTTTAACACCGTATGTAAATTTTATTTTAACATATGGAAAATATCTGTCATTTTCATTGAAAAATATTATTTGTTTGAAATTGAAAATTATAATATGTTTGATTTAAATCGAAGGGTTAGTTCAGAATGAACGCATGAAAACTTCCACTCTTTTCACTGGAATTCTAGTAGAATGTCTGAAATATGACATATGTATATGTTTATATTTCTGACGCCTGCCTCACTCTGATTTTCTCTTTTCTAGTTCCCCGCGGCAGGTTGCCATTGTCCCAACTCACCATTTGTCGTAATTCTCGTCACGTCAACTACCGCATCCTGTACTAGTGAAAATTTGGTGACTTTTTTTTAAATTAAAAGTTACTATAAAGTCATTAGCCGCGTGAAAATGGCAATTGTGGGAGTAGTATGGGTTAAAATTTTTTAAGATTTTATCCATAGTTGGGCCACTATGGGGAAAGTATGGGTTTTGTCCAAATCCCATAGTCAAAATCACTTGATTTAATTTTAGGATCATATTTTTTTTAATTTGAACCATTTTTTAACCAATTATTACACAAAAATGTATAAAAAACATATATTTTTATTATGAATATTATTAAAATAGTTTCAAGAACTTTTTTTAATATTTCAATAGTATAATTTTATTTATAATTTTATGGTATATTTTTATTATATATTATAAATTATTCGTATTTAAATATATCTTATTTTCAATTTTCAATTTTTTTTCAAGCAATAAGCTAAATAATTACTTTTAAATGATTCTTTTCGAATAAATTTAAATTTTGATTTCCTTTTTTTAAGGATATTTTAGCATAAGCTAAATATTGATTTGTTTTATTACATACGACTGATTCTGTTAAAAAAATAAATGATTTAACAGTCTATTTATCAAGAATAAAAAATTATTTAAAACAATTCTAAAAATTTTAATTTTTTTGAAGTTTCCAAATATTTGAAAATTTATCATTTCACAAAACAAAAAATTTTATTTTAAATAAAGTATTTATTTATTAAAAAGAGAATTTGATAAAATAAAAATTTATTTAACAAAAAGACAAGTTAATTATAACAAGGAAATTTTTATGTAATAACCTCAGAAATATTTATATATGTTTTCAATGATAAAAATTAAAATTTGAACAGTTTTTGAAATCACTTTTTCATTTTGAAAAAACTAAAAATTTCCATTTTTCATATGAAAAAAAATACAATTTTTATAAGTTTTTTGTGTAACAATTGTTTAAAAAATGGTTAAAATTAAAAAAATCTAATCCTAAAATTAAATCAAGTGATTTTAAGAAACCCCATACTTGACCCACAGTATGGACCAACTCGCGGCAAAATATTATCAAGTATTGGACTTGTAAATCGCCAAAGTTTGACTATGGGATTTGGACAAAACCCATACTTGCCCCATAGTGGACCAACTATGGATAAAATCTTAAAAAATTTTAACCCATACTACTCCCACAGTTGCCATTTTCACATAAACTTTCACTACAGCAGGGTGCGGTAGTAAAATGTCACAATTCGGATGTTCCACTGATTATTTTTTATTTATTGAGATTGGCTGTCTAGTGACTTTTACCTGCTTTGTCAGATATTTTGGTTTTTATTTCTCTTTCTATCGTGTTAATTAAAGAAAGACAAAAAAGGAACATGGTTGTCAATTGTCAATAAGATTTTGACATGATTCTTAACCTAAAAAATTATTCTTTGTATATCGTTCGAAGATCATTTTAAGTTCAAGTTTAACAATAAATTAAAAAAATTTTTTTATAATTTTCCGTTTTAAAATAAATTTGTTTTTTGATCGTTGATAATAAACATGGACTTCAGCATCGTATTAAAAAAAGAAGAATCCGCTAGATATAATAGAGATTCCATCGTTTTGGAAAAATTCCATAGAATTTTTTTATATTCATTAAATCAAAATAGGGTTCTTATTGGAAAAACAAAACTAAGCTATATTGCATTAAAAGTCTATTCTGATATGTGAATAAAATTTTGAATTTAGTTTATTCATGTGTTAATTTATAAAAATAATTATCCTGAAATTGCAAACAGGATTAATTTGAATGCGTGGCGTGGGAGTTATATTCAAACGTGAATTTCTAATTTTAAATCGAGACCACATTCGTCTTGAGAATTGGGTCGAACTCTGAAAACAAGAATGTTGTAAGAATCGCATCTGTATTTTTGCAAGAGAAAGCAGTCTAATAAAATGGATACCAAATGACAATATTTGTCATTCAATTAAAAAAAAATGTCTAATTGAAATTCAAAGAAAAATGACATACAAATACTCATATTAAAAAAATTCTTAAGCCTATGTCAGATATATTTATTTTTTACTTAAATATGAAAAATCATATACATGAATGTAAGAGAAAACAACTGTTTAAAACATTTAAGTAATTGCGATCTTTATTATACATTATTTTTTGATAAGCCTAACTTATTATTGGGTCAGAATATATCAATGAACAAAATTAAATTCTCAATGTTATGTTTTTTTTACTCCTACTGTGATCAAAATAAGTTTTTAGAAATATTAGACCAAATAAAATTTGTTGTTAAACTTATAAACAATTAAATACACTAAAAATGTTAGTGCAGCAAATGTCAAGATCGACAAATTTTTATATTCTGTTAATTTGACTCATATA